CTTTCCCTAAATTTGCTTAGCGTTTAATATAAATAAAAAAAAAATTTATAAAATGAAAATTAATAAATGTAATAATAAAAATGTATAAATAGTAAGAAAAGTGGTTACGAAGGATTAACGTGAAAAATGAAAAATTTCAATTCAATATTTTTATTTTAATAATATTATAGTCAAGTTTTTAATGAATTAGAATTAAAACAAACATTATTCATATTATTAAGACATTGTTAAAAATAAGAATACAGAAGTATAAATAATAAATAAATTATTAGATCAAAGAGTTATATTACGTGTATATGCTCATTTATTTTTTACGTCTGACACTTGCGAATGGGAATGGATTAACTAAATCTCATCTACTTTTACGTCGGATTACAATAAATGTATTTGGATTTTTATTTTTCACCACATCACTCTCTCTTTTTCTTTTTCGTTCAAGGAAAAATGACTTAATTAATATACTATCTATTTGAATAGATTAATAAATATAGTAATATAATAAATAATACATATAATATGTATCTTTTGTGTTTAATATATTTTTTTCTAATAGTATATATATTAAAGATAGAAATTTTCTATAAAAATCATTACATTTATTCCACCAGACTTATTGAAATATTCGGGATATTAAAAAAATCCTAAGTTCATAAACGATTTATTAATACATTTAAAATTTTTAAAAATAATATGAAAGATATCACTTTTTATTTTTAGGAATATTTCTTCGATGAATGTAAGTGAAATTTTTAGAAATTTATTGGATACTTTCACTGACTAATATATATTTTTATAACTTATTTTTACAATAGTTTCTGATAATATACCCACAATACGTACGCAATAACACAAACACATATATATATATATATATATATATATATATATTTAAATAAAAATATCTTTAATTGGTATATAACAACACTATACTTCATCTTTTAAATTAATCTTACCTTAATTTTGGATATTTATTCAAAATATTCATAAACAATATGAGATGTAAGAAAATGCCAATTTAAAATATAAAATAAAGGTAACCGCTTGTCTTTGGATTATTAATTTTTTTTTAGCATATTAATGTTAATTGAACGTTAATAAATATATTTTCGTTTAATGGAATATTGCAAAATAATAGGAATACGAGATTGAAAGTCTTTTGTGTAAATTATTTTATTGATAACAAGTAAAAAAATATAATGAAATATATCAATGAAATATACTTTTGACGATATATCATTTGCTTAAGTTTGGAAAATAACGTTTTTGACTAAAGTAAAAGAAGCTCACAACTATGCACGACCATGAAGAGTAACTCGATAGATTGAATCATACACCATTACTTCTTTACATTCGATAGAGAAGAAAATGATAGCGTTGTTGCACAACGTTTATTTCTTACTTTCAAGCTCATTTTAATTCTCACTTATTTAAAGAAATTTACATAATATTATTAGATAATAATAAAGTTGTCTAATTACTCTGCTTCATTATCAATAATTATTATAAATATTGAACTATTGCCAACCTCTATTATATCATAAATTTACTTAATGCACCTACATTATATGTGTGAATAATTACAGTTCGTTTTTGAATTTTAATCGTCACGACTTATATTAACAAAGGGTAACGATTTATATTAATTTTAAGCTTAATCGAAACATTAATTTAACGTTTATTGAAAACAGTATATATAAATAATATAATAAGGCTTTAAGCGATGCAGAAATATATTCTTAAATTAGTTATTTTTTACTTTTATTAATATTAGTTATATAAATTATAAATATGAATATGAAATATGAATGAATAATAATAGTCAGAATTAATTAAAAGGGTCGAAGTTTGATTAGATGATCTGTTGTTATTATGAAGACTAGTGGCTATTGGGAAACAAAGTTTTTTCTCGAATTTTTGTCGAATTGTCGCTAAAGGTTTAATTTTGTCAGTACGTAAGAATTTTCTTTCTAAAACAGAAAATATCGTCGTTTTTTATTTATATAATGAATAATACTCATTATTGAATTGATTTTGATAGCTTCGTATGCAAAAGACATCGATTAAATTAATGATGAATTGACACTGTTAAAAAAAAACTATTAAAATTCATCTAAACTTTCAATTGCCTTTATTAATTTTCTTAATAATTTTACTTTTATTTTTTAGTGAAACGTAATGACAACACCCAAAAAATACAAAATATACAGTATTGTTTAAGAATAATAAAAATAATAAGAAAAAAAAAATAAAATAATAATAATAATAATAATAATATAGAGGAAATCCAAGTAATTGCTCAATATTATTAGTGTAATTAAATTATGTAAAATAAGATTAATCGTATATGCGTCGTAAATACTTACATCATATAGATTAATATGATCTATTAATCTCGTAAGCATAAGACTCTAGTAAAATAATATTGTAGGTAATTTTAGTAGGTAAAGTGTACGATAAAATTCTATTTTGTATAATACAACGGCTACTACTCTACTGACGAAAGTGAACACGAAAAGATTCAATTTTAAGTTGAAATTAAAAAGGATTATCGAATGTTTGCGAATACGAGATGATTTTAACGCAGAGTAGGAAAAATGAAACCTCTTGGATGATTAATCGTATTACCAATTTTTATATTATAAGAAAGCGTGCTTTACGATGAGATAAATTTTGTAATATTTTCAATTTCTGTTATATTTAATATATGATTAATAAAATGAATATCTCGTTGTTTCAAAATAAACGCTATCGGCAAGATAATAATATGATTAATAGTCATTAAATATGTTAATTTTATTCATGCACACGTAACGAATGATTATACTTTTTCTTCGAATTATATTCATTACGTATCGCATAGTACGTGATGAATCGCAATACGCAAATCCATGGATTTGGCTTTCCGTATAGATCATTGAAATTCATGCCGCTAAGAAATTATAAGGATTCGAAACCATCGTGTCGTTCCAATGGAACGTTCTATTTCGTTACTATTTTCGCCTAATAAATTAAACCGAACAACTGAATACGACGTTCAACAAACGGTCGATACCATTATCATTAAAAACTGTCATTAATCACAATAAACAATTGCCGGCAAAATTTCACACACATATGTAGATAAAAAACGAGAAAATACGAAATTGGTGCATCGATGGAAATAGTCGTTACAACGCCCGTAGATCAAATGAATGGTTTATCAAGTATAATCGCAAAGCATAATTGGAAAGCGCTAATGGTTGAAAGGGGCCTCGGTCATGGTAGTCAGGTTAAGCGCTGCTTTTCCCATGGGAATCCTCGCGACTGTTAAGAATCGCGCCGAAAATGAGAAACGCCGTCGATAAAGCCAAGCAAGAAGGACGATCCTCGCGACTCTCGGCACCGTCCCGCGAGATGTCGGCAGCGCATTTGCAGCGATCCCTTCTCCCCGTCCCGATGTTACGTCGCCCCCCTCCCTCACAGCCGCAGTACCAATCAACACCTCCCTTTGCCCCGTCTCTGACCCGCGACAAGCAAAAAAGCCACACACGTGCTCGCGGGCGCGAGTGTGTGCGCGCGTGCCTTCCAGAGCGAACGAGTCTGACACTTGGCGGCGCGCACCGACGGACGCAGTCTTCCTCGAGAGCGCGGTGTACCGGCGCTTCCTCGTCTCCTTAACTCTTCCTCGGCTTGGCATCCCGACACGGTGGACGCACTTCGAACGGCTCTTAATTCTGTCCCATCACCTCCGTGCGTTGTTCTTCTCTCTCTCTCTCTCTCTCTCTCTCTCTCTCTCTATCTATCTATCTATCTATCTATCTATCTATCTATCCATCCATCTGTGTATATATATGTCTGTCTCATTCGATTTCAGCATACTTCGTTAAAAAATTGACCTTATACCGTCTCACTAGAAATTTCGAATAATCATTTTAATAGTATAATAATACTTTTTTTTATACGCACTTTTAAGTTTCATTCTCTGTATTAAATATTAAAGATTTTTTCTATTATTTATGTGAAGCTAATAAGTTTGTGCAACGTGCCCATTTCCATGAAAAGCTTCTACTCCAACGGTACTCAATCGATTTCGAAGTCCAATGACTTAATTATTCATTCTACTAATTCTCCCATAAATATGAAGTTAATCTTTCTTATACCTTATTGTGGTATATCTTTTATTTTTCTGGCAAAAATTTACCTCGTATTGTTAATAACGGTCGGCAATTAGTACACAGTAGCAGTCCGAACAGTAAGAAAAATAATGTTTAGTTAAT